TTTTGGTTTTTGTTTTATGTGTATGAGTGTTTCCCTGCATATGTGTAAGTGCACCATGTGTCTGCCTGGTGCCCACAGAGACCAGAAAAGAGTGTCAGATCTCCCAGAAGTGGAGTCACAGATGGTTGTGAGCTACCATGTGAGTGTTGAGATTTAAACGCTGGTCCTCTGCAAAAGCAACAAGTGCTCTTAACTGCTGAGTCATTCCTCCAACCCCCAGAAATTCCGAATATTCACTTTATCAGACTGTGATAAAATGTTGATTCAACAAATGGCTCTGAAACAATTTAATATCCATATGCAAAATAAAATGAAACTCAACCCTTACCTAATACAATATACATACAATTTAAGTAGAAGCAAAGCATGGCCTAACTATAACAGCTGAAAAGTCATAAAAACCTCTCAAAGAAAATATAGTGAAAATTTTTGTGGCCTTCAATTAGGCAATGTGCAATGGCTGGGAAAAACATTTGTAAAACACACATTTGACCACAAATATTTGTTTAGAAGTTATAAAGTCTGCAAAACATGTATCTGACACAAGATTTAGATCCTGAATATGTAATTCTTAGAACTCATTATTAGGAACCCAACAAAGAAATGAACAAAAGATTTGAGTAGGTACTTTACCAAAATTATGTAAGTGGTAAATCAACATATAAAAAGATGCCCAATCTTATAATTCACAGGGAGATGTGAATTAAGGCCTCATGTGAAGCCAGGAATATAGCTCACACTTGTATTTCCAGCACTTGGGAGGACTAGGTTACATAGCAAGTCTCAGGTCAGTCAAGGCTACAGAGCAAAAACCGTTCTAAAAAAAAACAGCAAAATAAAACAAAAAACAAAAAAAGCCTTCTCTGAGATGCCACTAATTCTTTATGGGAATGACTGAGTTAAAAGAGCTTGAAACCAAGTCCAAGAGGAGGTGGCCACATGCTGATTTCAACTGACAGGCCTGTGAACATCATAGCCATTTTGTCACACAATTTGGCCCTTTCTGCTAAAGTTAAAACATGTGCTTAACACATGATGAAATGATTTCACCCCCAGGTACACAACCAGGAGAAATGTTCACAGAACAGTCTTTAAAATGTGAATGATTATAGTAGTTTTATTCGTAATTGGCAACACTGGAAACAGCCTGACTATATGTAGGTTGATTTATGGGTGAAAAAAGTGTGATGCATTCATATCACAGAACAAGAAGAAAGAACTAACCGCACATGTGGCACGAGCAGATCTCAAAAACATTACGGGGAGTAAAAGAATCCAGATACCAAGGGCTTTGTGATGTCACTTACATGACATTTCATACATGCCAAACTGACATGACAGAAGGCAGGTACCAGTTGCTGGGGGCTGGGAACAAAGAACGGACCATGACTACAAAGGGGCCAATAGAACATTTTTCTTAAGTTTTATATTGTATTTTAATTATGTGTATTGGTGTGTATCTGTGTGCAAGTATGTGCACATGAGTGCAGGTACCCTGGGAGGCCAGAAGAGGGTGTCAGATCTCCTGGAGCTGGAGTTACAGGTGGTTGTGAGCTGTATGACATGGGTGCTAGGAACTGAACTTGGGGTCTCTAAAAGAGTGGTATGTACTCTTAACCATAGAACCAACCCTCCAGCCCCAAAGAAGATCGCTTTTGTATTACTTTTATTTTTCAATTGTATGTATATGAATATATAATCTACATATCTATAAGTGCACCAGTGTCCTGCAGTGCCCTTGGAGGTCAGAAAGGGGTTGTGGAATCCCCTGAACATGGAGTTACAGACAGTTGTTAGTCACCATGTGGGTGCTGGGAATTGAACCTGGGTCTTCTGCAAGAGCAGCCAGTGTGCTCTTAACCACTGAGCCACCTCTCAAGGTCTGAAGACTGCTTTTTGGGTAAAGCTTTCACTTTAATTATATCTATATGTGTGCATCTGTGTGTGGGGATATGCACAAGAGTACAGGTGCCCATAAGGACCAGAAGAGGGTATCATATCCCCTGGAGCTGGAGCAGTTAGGATCTGTCTGTTGTGGGAGCTAGGAACCAAACTTGGGTTCTCTACAAGAACAGTACTCCTCTTAACTGCTGAGCCATCTCTCCAGCAGCACCCATCCTGCCCCCGTCAAAACTTTTTAGAGTAATGGCGGCATTCTATATCTTGATTTTGGTTGGGTTTCATTGTAAAAAATGACCATGTATACCATGTTCAAAAATTATCAAACTTTGTACGTAAAACAAGTAAGTTTTGTCTCATTAAACTGTCCTTCAGTTTAAAGTTTCTTGGAGGAATTAAAGACAGGGCTGGTACCAGTATATGTTTCCAGATCCTAATCTGTGGTCAGAATCCCACAGATGTAGAAAATGAAAACAAAGATGTGTAACCTTGCTATCTGGAGATCTGGAGGTAAGCTGAGAGTTAAGAGATGAATGTCTTTTGGGAGGTTTGGAACCAGACAGGAGTGGAGATAGCTGTCCATCACATGTTCTTGCTTTGATAAATATCAAGATTGTGTTTTCTTTTTTAAGTGAAAATATTTGAGATAAAGGGGCACCTTACTCAAGTGGAGAAAGTATTTGAAATACTGAAATATTTCAGACCAATACAAACTAAAATTCCTCCCGGACAGAACTGATTCTTTTATTCTTCCAATGCAGTAGGAACCTTCCAGACATGAGAAAATCACCCCACATCCTGGGTGATTTTCACGAATGACACATTGAAGGTCATTGTAGGTAACTGTAGCTGCCAGATAAACTGCCTCTAATTTGAAAAGTGCATTAGTTCCCTAAGAGTGAATGTGCGCTAAGCGTACGGCAGCCAGACATGTGCTCTTAATTTGTTGAGCTCTATACTATGACTTTTGCACTCTTCTTCATGACTATTATACTTCAACAACCCTTTTCCCCACACTTTTTGTGTTTGTTTATGCACATAGGCATGTGTGAGCAATAGCACACGTGTAGAGACCAGAGGACAACTTGCCAGAGTTCTCTCTTTCTACCATGTGGGTTCCAGAGACCGAACTAAGTCATTAGGCTTCGTGGCAAGCACCTTAACTGCCAAGCCATCATACTGGCTCCCTTAGCAACTCTTTAAAGCACTCAAATGATTCGATTCAGTAGGTTGCCCCCAAAAGACAAAAATGCAACTGTTGTTTGGGAGTCCATGCAAAGGTAGCAAAAACATGAAGAGCTTGCCTAGTGATTAATTTTGAGAGGCGGAAGGGCCTGAAAGCTGGGATAAAGAGGGATGGGAACTGGAGATTATGACTGGTAAGGTCTAGTTTCTGCCCTGCATGTACTTGTCCAAGCATTTGCTGTGCAACTGCTCAACTGAATTCTACTTTGTGCATTTATACAAAGGAATTTACTAGATTTAAGCAATCTAAATATCTGTCATTGGGGACTATTTACCTGTAATACTTATGACTGGATACCACTGAAAACGAGGCCATGAAGCTCCTATATGTGTATGAATGTTAGGATTCAAAAATGGCAAAAGCCAGGGTAGAAATTAATCTGGTATAACATCACACACAGACACATAACACATATATAAAACAACATATTTTATATATTGGATATAATAAATACATATACATAGACATCATTAATCTGCAAAATAGACAAGAAATTTGTTAGTATTGCAGAGGGCACTTGGGACAAGAGATTTCATTTCTTTCAAATCTTGTATCATACACATTTGTTACCAATCAAATATAGATCACTTTTAAAACACTTGTTTATTCCTTAGTTTATTCCAGATCATGGATAGGTTTATCTTTATTGCAAAGTACTTCAGCAAAGAATAAGAATTGACCAGCCAACTATGCCATAAAGAATTTATTTATTTATTTATTTTTGTGCTGAGACTCAACTTAGCTCATCACCACATGCTGAGCATGTGTTCTAACTTTTGAGTCATGTCTCTTAGATTCCACAAAGAATTTTCTTTCTAACTTATTCTGAGACAGGATCTCATTACGTAGTGTGGGCTGGCCTCAAACTCATGATCTTCCTGCCTCAGCCTCCCAAGTGCTAGGATTACAGGTGTGTACTATCACACCTAACGGAGATTTATAAATGAAATTTGCTGCTCAGGATTGAACCCAGGACCTTAAACATGTGACCTTAAACATGTTAGGCATTCTACCATTGAGCTAAATCTCCAGCTGTTCAAAAGACTTTTCTGTTTTGTTTTGTTTTGTTTTTAGACAGGGTCTCCCTATAGCCCCAACTGGCCTGGTAGTATGTAGACCAGGATGGCTTTGATCTCACAGAGATCTACCTGCCTCTGCCTCCTGACTGCTGGGATTAAAGGCATGCACCACCATGCCCAGCTGTGTCAAAAGGGCTTTTAACCCAGCATTTCTCACGTATGAACTTGACACTTATAAAGAATAAAAATGAGTAGGTCTAAAGCTTAGCTCTTGTGGAAGAAGACAGGGAGGACAAAAGGAGGAGGAGAAGAGAAAGAGACCACTGGAATTCTCGTCCTGTGTGCATTTTCATTTTCTGTTTTTTTATCTTTATAATAAATAGGGTTAGGTCATACTCCTTGTTTTAGAAAACATGCTTTAGTATCAAATATTTCTGTGGCAAAATATTTAACTCCACACTTCTGCCACTCTTTTGTCCTGTTTCTATTCCTTCATTTTTAGTTCCCCAAGAAAGTAGGAAACACTAAGTTGACATGTGTCGGCTACAGTGAGATCCCACAGGGCAGCCCGGCTGAGGTGCTGGACACCAAAGCAAGTGCCTGGGGGTGTCAGAGAGCATTTCGCCCTACAGAGCAGACACATTTCCGTTCCTTACTAGGGGTGAAAACACTAGGGTTGAAGAGGCAAAAAGACAGCTTGAGCAGAAACTGATGTCCTGCCTACTGCTTGCCATGATTTCCATTTATTTGGGGCTATCTTTAGAAACTTGTTTTCTAAGCAAATTCTTCCAGCCATTTAAGAAATCACTAATGGGAAAGGGAGTGAGAGATTTGGATCATCTCAAAGGACAGAGGTTTAAAAGCATTTCGTTGCCAAAGTGATCCAAACCCATGCATGCCATTTCTTCCTCAAAGTCCCATTTGCTGCTCTTGCCTGGCATCGAGTACTGCTGGTGAGGGTGGGAGCTGCAGGTGAGCAGAAAAGGGTCCTGCTGAGGAGAACGGTATGAGAGGGAAGGCGCACAGCTGCTGAAATCCACAGCTTTCTCTGCGTAAGGGTCACCTCCTGGATTTGGCCACAATGAGGGACAGCCAGTTTTGGCTGTAGGTGGTTCCAGTGGAATCTGCTGGGGAAGGGGCTCCAAAGAGTTCTGGGAAGGAAAGAAGTCACAGGGCCAGCTGGTCAGAGGAAGAGGGTAGCTGGGGCAACAGGTGTCGTCGTTAAGGGTTCTCCCTAAGGCGGCATTTTTACTCCAGGCTTGCAGATCATTGTAATCTGGGTAGACTCCAGGGACAGAAGGCTGAAGCTGATCTTCACTGCTGTAGATCTTACTGCTGGGCAATTTGCATTTCTCATAGAGCCTAGTGGAGTCCAAGGTGGGAGGCAGGTCTTCTAGCTCTGTGGGTCCCCCCAAATCATAACTCTTGGGGAAAGATAAGCAATCATCCAGCGAGTTCTGCTGGGGGACGTTAGCTATTAAGGGTACGCTGTAACTACTGGGCAGTTGAACGCCTTCTTGGAATGACCAAGTTAAAGGTAAACTTCCCTGGTTCTGTAGTTCACCTGGAAGAGCCTGGAAAGAGAAATGAGTGCTCATGTTAATAAGTTAAGCAAACCCAGGCACCCGAGCTACTCTGCAAATAGCTTTGATCAGATTGCCCTCATTCCTGGCATACTTCCGTCACAGGCAGAAGTTCACCACAGCCAGAGAGCAAAGACGGTGCCAATTCCAGTGTAGTTTCCTGACCTGGGAAGAGCCAAATTCACTCTGGGGACCCACAGACATACATAATATGCGTCATGCACATCAGATCCCTAACTGCCTTTTGGAGACACATGTGAGGAGCAATTTAAGAAAAAAAAAAAAAACAAACTACAGCTTCAAAGATTTACACAAGTCTCAGGGATATTCACCACCCCCCTTCCCCTCTCTCCCTCTCCCGTTTTCCCCACCTGGACTATTCTATTTCTTAGTTCTGATTGGAATG